TAATGAACAACTTTCATTTGTTTCCCAGCACACTCAAAAGTAAAGGCCAAAGTCCTTAGTATGGTTTGTAGGGCAATATATGAATCTGTCTCCTCCTTACCTTATGGCTTTACTCTTTTTCATCTCAGCTCCAACATTAATGGCCCCCTTGTGGTTCCTGGAACTTTGTCAGGCATGCTCCTGATTTAAATGTTCAAAGTTGCACTTCTCTTGCTTTTAACCTACATTCATTTCCTTTAGGTATTTATTTAAAAAATAACCTTCTTAGTGAGTTTTTTTCTTGGTACTCTATCCAAAACTCCAAACATTCAACATTTCCTATGCCGTTCCTCACTTAATTGTTTTTTCCTCTGTTACTTTTCCCTATGCGATATATTTTAATTATTTATTATGTTTGCATATACATCCCATTAGAAAGTAAACTCCATGAGAACAAGGTTTTCTGTTTTGCTTTGTTCTCCACTGTATCCCCAGCAATTAAAAGTTCTTGGCACATAGTAGGAGCTCAATAAATGTTTATTAAGCAATATAAAACTATAAGATCTATTCTTTTAAAGAGCTAATAGAATGGCTTCTGTAATGCTTAGAACAGCAAGAACGTTGTTGCCAGTAAATGCCTTAAATGGAAAAAAAAAAATTGTACACCTTCCATAGAAGTGGAAGCATATAGTAATTCTAGAGTTGCTTTATTCTAAGACTTAACAGTAATCTCAAGAACCCAAACTATTTCCATTTCTCCATGTTGCCATAATTGGCTTTTTGATGGCTTCTGTTATATTTGTTCACTTCTTGATCAAAACATTGCTGTGTTGACAGCAATGTCTAGGGGCCTTAAATGAGCTCTTTATTCCTGTACTGATCATGTTATCTTTTTTTTTTTTTAAAGATTTTATTTATTTATTAGAGAGAGAACACGAGCAGGGGGAAGGGGCAGAGGGAGAAACAGACTCCTCACTGAGCAGGGAGCCCGATGTGGGACTTGATCCCAGGACCCCAGGATCATGACCTGAGCTGAAGGCAGATGCTTAACCAACTGAGCCACCCAGGCGCCCCATGTTATCTTCTGTGTAGAGAAAAAGTGTAAGTAGGAAGTCTAGTATGGAAGATATTGCATATTTAGAGCAGAGAAGCACTGGAGCCAGCTTGGACTGGTAGGTTTACAACTGAGCTAGAGAAAAGTGAAAGGATTTGCAACTTAGTTTGTGGGTAGAAATCATAGGGCAGACTAATGGGATCAGCTGTGGAAGAGGAGAGAATTTGAGGATTTAAGATGTCTACTTTCTTGTTTATATTTTTGTCTTCGAGCCATTGGATAGAGATACAAATTGTATAGAGATAACATTTACGGAATAAGGTTTACCATTTACATAAAGAAGGCTTGGAAAGAATAACTCTTAAGTCCTTCATGTATGTGTGCATATATATGAAATATGATAATCCAATTATTTTAACCACTGTTCAATAGAAAAAAATCTGTCAACTACATAAAACAATATTAAAAGTTTGTAGAATCATATTTGTCAATTATATGCAGACAGTAATGCAAGTTATTTTGTTCAGACATTAATGCCAGCCATTTTGTTTTTTAAGTACTTAGATGATTATTGATTTGCTTTGTGTGTGTGAGTGAAAAGCAGCATTTTATTTATTCATTTTTCATTTTAAGTTTTTATTTAAATTCCAGTTAGTTAACATACAGTGTAATATTAGTTTCAGGTATAGAATTTAGTGATTCATCACTTACATACAACACCCAGTGCTCATCACAACAAGTGCCCTCCTTAATACCCATCACCCATTTAACCCATCCTCCAGCCCACCTCCCCTCCAGCAACCCTCAGTTTGTTCTAAATAGTTAAGAGTCTCTTTTATGGGGCGCCTGGGTGGCTCAGTCGTTGAGTGTCTGCCTTCGGCTCGGGTCATGATCCCAGGGTCCTGGGATCGAGCCCCACATCGGGCTCCCTGCTCCGCGGGAAGCCTGCTTCTCCCTCTCCCACTCCCGCTGCTTGTGTTCCGTCTCTCGCTGTATCTCTCTCTGTCAAATAAATAAAATCTTTAAAAAAAAAAAAAAAAAAGAGTCTCTTTTATGGTTTGCCTCTCTTTTTTCCCCCCATATTCATCTGTTTTGTTCCTTAAATTCCAAATACGAATGAGATCATAAGGTATTTGTCTTTCTCTGATGGACTTATTTCAATTAGTATAATATACTCTAGCTTCATCCACGTCATTGCAAATAGCAAGATTTCATTCTTTTTATGGCTGAGTAATATTCCATTGTGTGTGTGTGTGCCACTTCTTCTTTATCCATTCATCAGTTGATGGACATTTGGGTTCTTTCCAGAATTTGGCTATTGTTGAAAATGCTGCTATAAACATCAGGGTGCATGTATTCCTTCAAATCAGTATTTTTGTATCCTTTAGGTAAATACCTAGTAGTGTAATTGCTGGATAATAGGTTAGTTCTAATTTTTTTTAAAGATTTTATTTATTTGTTTGAGAGAGAGAGAGCACAGAGGGAGAGGGAGAGTGAGAGGGAAGAAGCAGACTCCCCACTGAGCAGAGAGCCCGATGTGGGGCTTGATCCCAGGACCCTGAGATCATGATCTGAGCCAAAAGCAGACGCTTAACCGATTGAGTCACCCAGGCGCCCCAGGTTAGTTCTATTTTTAACTTTTTGAGGAACCGCCATACTATTTTCCAGAGTGGCTGCACCAAAGTTTCCATTCCCACCAACCATATAAGAGGGTTCCCCTATCTCTACATCCTCACCAACATCTGTTGTTTCCTGAGTTGTTAATTATAGCCATCTGACATGTGAGGGGATATCTCATTATAGTTTTGATTTGTATTTCCCTAATGATGATTGATATTGAACATCTTTTTCATGTGTCTGTTAGCCATCTGTATGTCTTCTGTGGAAAAATGTCTATTCATGTCTTTTCTCCATTTCTCAACTGGATTATTTCTTTTTTGGGTGTTGAGTTTGATAAGTTCTTTATAGACTTTGGATACTAACCCTTTGTTAGGTATGTCATTTGCAAATATCTTCTCCCATTCCAGAGACTCTCTCTTAGTTTTGTTGATTGTTTCCTTCACTGTGCAGAAGCTTTTTATCTTAATGAAGTCCCAGTAGTTCATTTTTGCTTTTGTTTCCCTTGTTTCCAGCGATTGTCTAGTAAGAAGTTGCTACAACTGATGTCAAAGAGGTTGCTGCCTGTGTTGTCCTCTAGGATTTTGATGGTTTCCTGTCTCACATTTAGTCTCTCATCCATTTTGAGTTTATTTTTGTACATGGTATAAGAAAGTGGTCCAGGTTCATTCTTCTGCATGTGGCTGTCCAATTTTCCCAACATTTGTTGAAGAGACTTTTTTCCATTAGATATTCTTTCCTGCTTTGTTAAAGATTGGTTGACCATAGAGTTGAGTGATTTCTGGGTTTTCTATTCTGGTCCATTGATCTATGTGTCTGTTTTTGTGCCAGTACCGTACTGTCTTGATGATGACAGCTTTGTAATAGAGCTGGAAGTCCAGAATTTACTGCCTCCCTCTTTGCTTTTCTTTTCCAGGATTGCTTTGTTTATTTGGGAGGCTTTTGTGATTCCGTACAAATTTTAGAATTGTTTGTTCTAGCTCTGGGAAAAATGCTGGTGTTATTTTGAGAGGGATTGCATTAAATCTGTAGATTGCTTTGGGTAGTATAGACATTTTAACAATATTTGGTCTTCTAGTCCATGAGCATGGAATGTTTTCCCCTTTCTTTGTGTCATCTTCAATTTCTTTCATAAGTGTTCTGTGGTTTTCAGGGTAGAGATCTTTTACTTCTTTGGTTAGATTTATTCCTAGGTATATTATGGTTTTTGGTGCAGTTGTAAATGGGTTCAATTCCTTGATTTCTCTTTCTGCTGCTTCATTATTGGTGTATAGAAATGCAACAGGTTTCTATATATTGATTTTGTAACCTGTGACTTTTACTGAATTTGTGTATCAGTTCTAGCAATTTTTTGGTGGAGTCTTTGAGGTTTTCTATGTAGAATATCCTGTTGACTTGCTTTTATAAATTAGAGTGAGACAAATAAAATAGAAAGGAAATTTAAATTAAAACTTAGAATTATGAGATTGACTCACCTCTAGTTCTGAGGGAGGGAATGAAATTAGAAGCCTGGAGTTGCAGAGTGTGTCACAACAGCTGTCCATAGCTCTCACGTCACAAAAAGTAGTAAAACCAGGAAATCTCATTCTATAAAATCTGGATGCAGTTTTCTGAAATCTACTATATATGTTCAAACAAATTTTTCATTAAAACTACTAATTTCGCATAACTGAGAATTAAAATATTCCATTAGATTTCCTTATTGATAGAACTATAAATTCAAAAAAAATAAAATTATACATTTTTCTTTTTATGTATGGGTGGGGAGGGGCATTAACCTAAAGCAGGCTTTGGGCGCCTGGGTGGCTCAGTTGGTTAAGCGACTGCCTTCAGCTCAGGTCATGATCCTGGAGTCCTGGGATCAAGTCCCACATCGGGCTCCCTGCTCAGCAGGGAGTCTGCTTCTCCCTCTGACCCTCCCTACTCTCATGCTCTCTCTATCTCATTCTCTCTCTCAAATAAATAAATAAAATCTTAAAAAAAAAAAAAAACCTAAAGCAGGCTTCAACACATGGCATGGCGTATACTTTCAGATGTGTGTGTTAGAAAAGTTAATATTTTTACATAAGCATCATGATATAGCTTTCCCTGGTATCAACATTTATTTTTCTCTTTTATTTCACACCTGCAAAACTAGAGTTACTTTACATCAAATGCTATTCAGTGGTTTTTCAATATTGTGTATGTGCGAAATGCTCATCAGGGACTAGTTTTACTAAAGATAACTATCCTGTTAAGCCTATATCTACACTGAAGGAAAAGAACTGTGGTCATACAGTGAAAACACTTATTTCTAAATTATGTTTAATGGATTATTATCATACCAAGTAACCAATAAAAATTTGCCCCAATATATCTTATTCCTTCTATATTTTTTTAATCTAAAAGTCCATGTGATTTTAAATGGCTCAAATGGTCAGTCACATTTTTTTAAGGGCCCTGAAATTTCCTTATGATACAAAGAAAACCAAACATGTTCTTTAGTCATTAACTCCCTTCACTTCTAAAATTATTACACTACTTCCAGACACATTTGCTCCCTTCATAGCTGTAAACACATTTTAGTACAGCGTAATTTTGTTTCATGTAAGTCATATGTCAAAGGATTATTAAACAAAACACAAGGGCATGCATATGAGTCAATTTTATTTAAATCCATCTCCTCCAGCCTCTCTTCCTTTGGAAAAAAAAAAAATGCCCTTTTAAACTCCCTCTTGCTTGTCCACTATATTCTCTTACTAACAAGATGACAAGAATAACACTAAGGAACCCAGTGGCGGTAGTGGTGGGTGGAATGGTGGCAATCACATTTATAAAATGTATGAAGCCAGAAAATGTAACTAATTGTACAATACCTGCTGTGTATGTTGCTAAATTGTGTGTAGATTATAAAAAGAAAAAAAGATGTCACAGTGAGGTTCAGTGAATATATTTGAAATGATGGCACTTATTTCCCAAGTATTAACTAAGATCCTACTATGTGTTTAGATACAAAATAAGGATAAGAAACAGGCAGTATCCACTGATTACATGGCATTTAATCTTATTTCAACCTATTTCATCTTCACTACAACCCTCCAGATTCTTACATTATGTCCATTTTACTGGCAAAATCATGGTGGCCCAGCTGATATCTGGCATATTACTGGAGACAGAAAACATGGTCCCAATAACTCAGCCTCTGCCTGGTTCTAAGGCCACAGTTATTGTTCTACAGTTTCATTGTGTCTGTTGTCCAGTGGTTTTAGCAGCTTGCCTTCTTATTTACTCCTTCTGAATCTTTTTCCATAGGAAATGGTCTGGAATCATAGTCCCTGTGGGCTGTTGGAGGATGTCCTCTTTGATTACAGCCCTGGAGCTTGCTGTCCAAGAGTTTTCTCTCTGTTATCTACTCTACTGTGTTGTGGACTGTTCATCCAATTGTTGGTTCTTATGACAAATGAATATTATTAAACAACTTGAATTTTATACTTTGCTCTTTAGACCTATGAGGTTAATACATAGGATAAACATGAGATTTAGGAGATATGGTACCTGAATTATATTAGTAAAAGTAAGTAACATGAAACATGAAAGAAGAGAAAGGGGGATGTTTGTCTCCAGTTTCATGTAAGACTCCAAGTGTTGGTGGGAAGGGATTTTTTACTCTTGACTCTGGTTATAAGGCATCCTCCATTTCTTCTTTTACTGAGCGAGCAAGTGCTGGGCCAGAGTCCAGCCAATAAACCTGGAAAAGAAGGGGAAAGAGTGGTGGCTCTTCTCTCATTACATTGCTCAAATACTAGTCTATTAAATCAACAACTCTGCTCTGACTCCTCTTCATTGATGAATTCAGTCCTCTGATTTCTTAAATTTTTATGAAATAAATTAAAAGAGTAATCAAAATCATATGAATTAAACCTAACAATGTATTTGTATCCATATTTCAAAAGAAATCTCTAAAACTAATATTAATTAAAAACTGGAGAATTTCCTTTAATCTGTGATTTTTTTGTGAATATCAAACTCAAATGTTCCCATCAATTAACTGTAAACTACTTAAAATGGACCAGTGAAACACCAGATAAGGTCCCAAATTAATTGATTTAACACACATGTTATTATCTTTTAGATATCTTTTAGATTCACAAAATTTTTCTTGACATTGGAGATAAAGCAGGGAAATATACCCAATTCCTATTCTCATGGAGCACAGTAGAGACAATAAATTAATATACATACAGGTCAGGTGAAAAGCATTATGGGGAAAAATAAGGCAGGATAAGAAAAACAGTATGTGGCAAGGGTGTAGTAATATGGGAGTGGAGGCTGCTAATTTATCCAGGCTGCTCAAGGAGCGCTTCTGTGAGCAGATGTCATTTGAGAGTAAACATGGAGGTTGAGAGAATGAGTCATACTGAAGTGTGGGGCATGAACTGTGTACACGGAGGCAACAGGATGAAGGACTTGAGGTGGGAGCACAGCTGGAGTCCAAATACAACCAGGAGACCAGTCTACGCAGAGCACAGGGAGCAGGAATCGCTAGAAAACAAGATGTAAAAGGCAAGGGAGAGTGACACATCCTGAGGGGCACTGTACTTCCTAGTGAGGGCTTTTGAGAAACCTTCCTGAGGAAAGATGTGTCAGCCAGAGGGCCAGTCTGGCTGCTGGAAGAAAAGTAATTGGTATTATTACAAATTCTGCAACATAATTTTGCTCACAGATTTATTATATATTTTACCACTTTGTATTTTAACTGAAAAGCTTTCAATTGTTGTTATAACCCATAAAGTGAAAAACTTCTACATTCTACTGAGAAAAGAAAGCAGGAATTATTTCTCAGCTATTAAAAATATTTTAAAGATTTAGTAAACAATATTGCAGGCAAGGTAACGTATGCAGACAGCATAAGAATGACGCACGCTATTGAGTGAACTCTCAGCATTTCTAAGTATTGTTTCCTCTCCACATGAATGTCCTTGTGTTTGAAGTCATTATCAAAGCCTGACTTCATTTTGGGGGATGTGAAAAGAAAGCAAACTCTTCAGTGAGATACACAACACTTGTATAAAGCATTTCTGCATTTGAAATAATACCCTATCAATGCAATGATTTGTGATTAAATGACATTCATGGGAAGAGGACTTCTGTTTGGCCATAACTTGAAAATAGAATCTTTGGATCCGTGAATAACTCTCTTGACATTTCCCCCAATCTGGGTTACAGTGGATCATTGCCTCATATTGCTCTTAAATCAATTGCACAGAACAGTTAGGTGAGTCAATATCCGTTTTACAGAGTACTTTCTACATAATATACATAATAATGAAGTATCCAGCTTTACTCTTTTTAGAATAAATAATCTAATACTTTTCAGATTCTTTGAACACGTAATTTTTTTTCCCCCAAACCAGGGCCTTTTCAAGTGCTATTTCTTTACTCTAATAAAGAGTCTCTTTCCTGTAGTAGTATTGCCTCATTGTGGCTCTCCAAGCCTCAGTAGAGAAGAGATAGTGCGTTATAGAAGTCCTAGCTGAAGAGGTCATCTGAAGTAGTTCCCTCCTCTTGGTTCATGCAGTTCTTTCTTTGAGAAGATGTGAATGCACTTGTATTCATTTGTTAAGATTTTTTTGTGGTACCTTAAAACAGCTTTCCTGTTATGTTCTAAGCTCCGTCCATGTGCACTTTGCTCAGCATTAACACAATTCCTAGCATTTAGTGAGTACTCAATATGTGAACGAAAGAGTTGATATTATCCAAGTCTCTGTTTATGCCCACACATACGCATAAATCCAAACTGCAGAAGCATAATTGGAATATAAATGCCTATATCAGTTTATGTTTCTTCTACAAGTAGAAAAACAACAAAAACAAATTTGTCTCCTCAAGGAGCAATATATAGAAATAGTTTCCAAATTGTAAAGTGTGTCTAAAATAACCAATAGAAACTGGACAGTAAGCATTTAATATTTTAATGGTGCTTTGTGACAACCTGACCCTCTATACCTTTTAGCGTTGTGAATATTAGTTTCCTTTGCTACTAATAGCAAAACTCTGGCTAAAGGAACCAGATGGAAGCATGATACCTTCATAACCAAAGCCATTTTCACAGCAGTGCAAATTACTTCTTCACTTAATCATGTTATGACAAAATCCATTATAATGATGGATAGACCCAAGGACATTGTTAATACAGAGACAAAATTTAAAGAAACTAGCTGTTTCAAGTTTGTCTCATAGATTTTCCTTAGTATAATTGTCAGTAATAAGATAAGAAAGGTAGATTTTATATGAAGATAGATAAATATTTTAAGAATACTGTAGATTATAGTTACGATTAATAAGCATGGCTATTTTAATGAAAAAACAAATTACTGGGAAAAATGATTAATTGTAAAGCATTTATGTTAATTAAAATACAGCCCTGACATTGATAGACTATGTGAGCTTCCTTGCATAAGTAACTGAGGAATCATTTGTGTGTAGCAGAAGATGAGGGTGAAAGTCTTACAGGGTATGTGTCCACTTGGGCATACAATAGATTTGGTTGATTTGTGATTTTGCTTAGTCCATTTGTAAGTGGTCATGTAAAGGGGCTTATATAAAAATATTATAAAATACTTCAATACTTTAGTATGTTCAAGGAACTCTGGTGATTTCAGTTAAAAACATGCAAGAGAAATTACATTGTAAGTTAGAAGATACTCTGATTTATTTCTGATTTTTTTAAATAAGGAACACTAATAAAATTATCTGTGAGACTGTGAGGAAAATTAAAAAAAAAATTTAAAACTATTTTTTTAAAATTTTATTATGTTAGTCACCATACACTACATCATTAGTTTTTGATGTGGTGATCCACGACCCATTGTTTTCATATAACACCCAGTGCTCCATGCAGTATGTGCCCTCCTTAATACCCATCACTGGGCTAACCAATCCCCCCACCCCGCTCCCCTCTAAAACCCTGTTTGTTTCTCAGAATCCATAGTCTCTCATGGTTCATCTCTCCCTCCAATTCTGCGCCCCCTTCATTTTTCCCTTCCTTCTCCTAATGTCCTCCATGCTATTCCTTATGTTCCACAAATAAGTGAAACCATATGATAATTGACTTTCTCTGCTTGACTTATTTCACTTAGCAGAATCTCCTCCATTCCCATCCATGTTGATGTAAAAGTTGGGTATTCATCCTTTCTGATGGCTGAGTAATATTCCATTATATATATGGACCACATCTTCTTTATCCATTCATCTGTTGAAGGGCATCTCGGCTCTTTCCACAGTTTGGCTATCGCGGACATTACTGCTAAGAACATTGGGGTGCATATGGCCCTTCTTTTCAGTACATCTGTGTCTTTGGGGTAAATACCCAGGAGTGCAATTGCTGGGTCTTAGGGTAGCTCTGTTTTTAAACTTTTTGAGGAACCTCCACACTGTTTTCCAAAGTGGCTGTACCAACTTGCAGTCCCAACAGTGTAAGAGGGTTCCCCTTTCTCCCCAACCTCTCCAACATTTGTTGTTTCTTTCCCTGTCCATTTTTGCCATTCTAACTGGTGTAAGGTGGTATCTCAATGTGGTTTCGATTTGGATTTCCCTAATGGCTAATGATGATGAACATTTTTTCATGTGTCTGTTAGCCATTTGTATGTCTTCTTCAGAGAAGTGTCTTTTCATATCTTCTGCCCACTTTTTGACTTGATTATTTGTTTTTTGGGTGTTGAGTTTGAGAAGTTCTTTATAGATCTTGGATACCAGCCCCTTATCTGTAGTGTCATTTGCAAATATCGTCTCCCATTCTGTGGGTTGCCTCTTTGTTTTGTTGACTGTTTCCTTTGCTGTGCAGAAGCTTTTTATCTTGATGAAGTCCCAAAAGTTCATTTTTGCTTTTGATTCACTAGCCTTTGGACATGTATCTTGAAAGAAGTTGCTTGAAAGAAAGAAGTTGAAAGACACTTGAAAGAAGTATCTTTGGCGATGTCAGAGAGGTTACTGCCTATGTTCTCCTCTAGGATTTTGATGGATTCCTGTCTCACATCGAGGTCTTTCATCCATTTAGAGTTTATCCTTATGTATGGTGTTAGAGAATGGTCGAGTATCATTCCTCTGCATGTGGCTGTCCAATTTTCCCAGCACCATTTATTGAAGAGACTGTCTTTTTTCCATTGCATGTTTTTTCCTGCTTTGTTAAAGATTATTTGACCATAGAGTTGAGGGTCCATATCTGGGTTCTCTATTCTGTTCCATTGGTCCATATGTTTGCTTTTGTGCCAGTACCATGCTGTCTTGGTGATCACTGCTTTGTAATATAGCTTGAAATTGGGCAATGTGATGCCCCCAGCTTTGTTTTTCTTTTTCAACATTTCCTTGGCGATTCAGGGTCTTTTCTGATTCCATACAAATTTTAGGATTGTTTGTTCTAGCACTTTGAAAAATGTCATTGGGATTTTGATCGGGATGGCATTGAAGGTATAGATTGCTCTGGGTAGCATGGACATTTTAACAATGTTTATTCTTCCGATCCATGAGCATGGAATATTTTTCCATCTTTTTGTGTCTTCTTCAATTTCTTTCATGAGTGTTTTGTAGTTCCTAGAGTATAGATCCTTTACCTCTTTGGTTAGGTTTATTCCAAGATATCTTCTGGTTTTTGGTGCTATTGTAAATGGAATCGTTTCTCTAATTTCTCTTTCTATAGTTGTGTTGTTAGTGTATAAGAAAGCAACTGATTTCTGTCCGTTGATTTTGTAT